TCAAGGTGGAATGGCGACGTTCAGGATGTAGCATCCACCACCCGACTCTGGGACCAATCCCTTGTTGGCTGAGGAATGGATGCCCCATCATGCATCGACAGCCTGCGCTGGACATGTTGGCGCAGTTTGAGATGGAGGATCAGGGGGAGGTGGCTCTCTCTGATGAAGATCGAAGTTGGTGGCAGAAGCATTTTCCTGAACTACCACTTCCAGTTCTCCAGCACATGGCTGGTCAAAGTCAAGAACCTACAGCTCCGCCCTGGAATCGAAGGTTGCGACGGGCCCACATGACTGGAAAGGGTGTCATTGTTCACCTTTTCAGTGGAGCTGATGCCAAGAAATGGAATGATGTTGGTGGAGGCCGCTACTCATGGTTGTGCATCGACGCTGAGATCAATGCAGCCCTGAACCTCCACAACCCGTCAGTTTGGAGTTACTTGTGGAAGCTGGCATCACTTGGCCGCATTGTTGCTGTCATTGGAGGTCCTCCATGCAGAACTGTAAGCCGCCTTCGAAATAAGGCTCCTGGCCCTCGTCGACTACGTGGCCGAGGAGAAGATCGTTGGCGCCTTCCTGATTTGGACGATGATGAGCAGCGCTTGGCCCACGGCGACACTGCACTTTGCATGAAGCATCTTGGTCTTTGGCTACGTGCTCAAGAACGCCGTCGTGTTCCCATGGATGTTGGAATGTTGCTGGAATCTCCACGTGACCCAGCTGAATACTTGAGTGATGAAGAAGGAGCTCGAAGCGCCTCTTTTTGGCGCTTCCCTGAAATCACGGCTTGGGTTGGAACTGCAGGACTTCGCCTGGTCACCTTCGACCGAGGACGTTTGGGCCATCAACGGAGGACCCACCACAGTCTTGACCAACCTCCCTGCCTTCGAAGAACTACATGGTCTCCAGGGTGAAGGTTGTGATGATAGTCCACTACCCACCAAGCTGGCAGATCGCATTCGCACTTCAAAGTCTTGGGCCGCTTGGGCGGCTTGTGGCTGCTATCAAGGAATCGCTGCGAAGGTTGCTCGGAGTTTTGGAGGAGGAAAGTCGAAATGGTGACACTCACAACATGTCCAAAATTGACCTTGCAGCCTGGCACCGACACATCAAACAGGGGCACATTCCGTTTCGTGCTGACTGCCGAATCTGCGGCGAAGCGATGGGCTGCGATAAACCGCACAAAAGACTTGGGGGG